ACAATCTGGAATTAAAATTATATTCCCTATGCCAAGATTCTCCAAAGAAAAACAAAATATAATCATCAGTAGAATTCCTCTCTCTGATCCTCAATTCCTAAGCGAATTTTTTCTTTCTTATCACATCATCTATAAAAGAAGTACTTAGCCAGGTGCTGGTGGCTCACACCTGTAATCCTTGCTACTCAGGAGGCTGAGACCTGAGGATCAAGGTTCAAAACCAGCTCGGGCAAGAGTAGATGAGACTCTTATCTCCAATAAACAACCAGAAAACCAGAAGTGGTGCTGTGGTTCAAGTGGTAGAGTGCTTGCCTTGAGCTGAAGAGCTGAGGGACAGCACCCAGGCCCAGACTTCAAGCCTATAACCAACAACAACAAAAAAGTACTTAAGAAAGAGAAACATTATCTAAAAATAGTCAACAATGTTCACGTGTCTGAGATATTTCTGATGATTCTGTTAGGTACAACAACTATGACCGGGCTGTCATCAATACGGTACCTTATGATGTTGTCCATCGTTGGTATACAGCACACCGGACTCTGACAGTTGAATTGCGAAGACCTGAGAATGAGCTTTGGGTCAAACTAAAACCTGGAAAGGTGGGTCCTAAACTTTAAAAATGTCTAGTAAATTTGTTTTACCAAACCAGTGAAGGATATCTGTTTAATATGTGTCACAGTGCTAGAAAGAAAAAAGAGAAGTCCTGCCACTAACTTACTGAATGATGAGAAATTTAGCTAAAAGATCCCTAAGATTCCTTCCAGCTTTATTTCATTTGTGTTTAGGGTGGGGAATAACTTGGGTGATGGGTTTACACTTAGTGCCTCATGCTTGTTAGGCAGGCACTCTACCACAGAGACATGTTCCTAGCCCTTTTTTTCACACTGATTAGTTTGATAAAGGCTAAGGGTTTTTACCAGGCCCCAACCAGACTTCAATACTACTTTCCACTGTAGCAGTGATGAGAAGCACATGGCACTGCACCCACTGTTAGTTCTATAACTTTTTGCCCCCACTGGCCTCAAACCATGATTCTTCTGATCTCATTCTCTCAAGTAACTGGGATTACAGGCATGAGCCACCACATCCAGTTCATTTTTCAAATCTTGATATTTCCTCTGGGTGAAAAATATATTCAGCTTATCATAATGAAACAGTAGTTTACCCTTTGAATAAGTATAGAGTAAGAAAAAGATGGAATCCAGTTATATAATTTACATTGGAAAACAGAATAATTGTTCAAGAAATGAGCTCCCTAACCCAGGTCCTATTAGCAAATATTGCTTTTATAACTTCTTTTGAGGCTATTATGTATAGGATTACACACATCTTAGTCTTAAAAGTCTACATAATCTCAAAAGAAAAGTATCTCATTGAGAATAACCACAGAACTTAAATTTGGTCTCTCTTGGTTTAGGATTTTTGATAGTGTTTTCTCTTTTACCCATTTGCAGGTACTATTCATTGACAACTGGCGAGTCCTACATGGTAGGGAATCCTTCACTGGCTACCGGCAACTCTGTGGCTGCTATTTAACACGAGATGATGTATTAAACACTGCTCGTCTCTTGGGGCTTCAGGCTTAAAATTGACAGCATTGGGTTTATGAATATACTTAGCATCTTGGCCACCAGAATTTCCTATAAACAGAGTAATAAGTCAGAACTTACCTTACATGGTTTCCTTAATCTGTCCAACAAAACAGAAGCTATGTAATTCTCTAATAGAGGAAACCTGTTAGAGAAATGAGATTTCTGATTTATCTAACACCAGCCATCTAGTGGAAGAGCCATTTTCTCATTATAACATAAGCCTACTTGTTTTATAAACCTTTTGATATGACTTTATTTTACTTTATCAATACAACATATATAGTAAAAAGAAATCAATTACATTTACTGAGTGAAACTTCTTTCAATTAAATCCTTTAGAATACAATGCATTCTAAAAATGAAAAAGTATTGATAAAGCAAAACTTGCTAAATTTTTGGCCTTAGCATCTATGTATGAGACAATATATGGCTACCTGTATTTCTGTGTGGTTATTTCACTTAACACGTCTTCTAGTCCTATCCATTCCAACAAATGAAAGGTATCACTTTTCTTTTTTATAAATGAATACACACACACACACACACACACACACACACACACGAGTTTGCTTCATCCATTCACAGGCATTTAGGCTGATTCCATATCATATCTATTGTGAATAATGCATCACAGGAGTATGTGGGTATTCTCTGATGTGCTGATTTCTTTTGGATGTACACCTAGAAAGCAGTAGCTAGATGATATAGTAGATTACTAATTTTTTGAGGAATTCCCATACTGTGTTCAATAGTGGCTATGCTAATTTACGTTTCTACCAAGAGTATATAATACTTCCTTTTTTATAATTCACTAACACTTATTATTTTTGTACTTTTTATAACAGCCATTCTGACTGCAAAAAGAGTATTTCTCATTGTGGCTTAGATTTGCCTTTTCTTCATAACTACTCATATTGAGTTTTCATATACTTGCTCGAAATTTGTACATCTCATTTTAAGAAATATCAATCTACGACAATAGCCCTTTTTGTCTGTTGCTGATTCTGCTTTAGGGATATTGGGGTTGTTCTTTTATTTCTCAATTTCCTGTTTCTTTGAGACAAGGTCTCACTATGTAGATCAAACTGACCCTAAACTGACTATGTAGCTCCAAACTGGTCTCAAACAAACTCAAATCCTTCTGCCTTGACCTTAACCACAGGATGGGATTATAAGCCTGCACCACCATGGCAGCTATTGTTGATTTTTTAATGACATCACTAATATTGTTCCTATTGAAATCTGCAGTTTGCTTACAAGTTGTAAGCATCACACTGCTTCAGATGTATGCCTGATGAATAACTGCTATCATACTGCAGGTTAACATTCACTCAATTGTTTGCTTTGCTGTGAGCCTTAACAACCTTAAAAACTGTCCAGGACGCATTGATAATCATTATATTAGATATTAAGTGTGAGAAATGTTAGAAAATGAATAACATGGAACCATATGATAGGTAAGGACCTATCAGAGGGATGACATTATCACATCATATAGCCTATGAAAAAGTCCAGTGTTCATTCCTCACTCTCCCTCCATTGTGCAAGCAGGTTACACAAGAAACCTAAGTCAAAATGTCATCACCAGGCGTGAACCATAAGCCTAAGCTTTTCTGTTAGAACTGTAACAGGGGCTGGGAATATAGCTTAGTGGTACAGTGCTTGCCTAGCATGCATGAAGCCATGGGTTCAATTTCTCAGTACCACATAAACAGAAAGGGCCAGAAGTGGTGCTATGGCTCAAGTGGTAGAGCACTAGCCTTGAGCAAAAGAAGCTCAGGGACCGTGCCCAGGCCCTGAATTCAAGCCCCTGGACTGGCAAAAAAAAATTTAAGAAGGTAGGTACCCAGGTCTGTAGGCACAGTTGAGAAGAATATTCCAGAAAAACCAGAAACATTCACCCTCTCTACCTTTGCAGTTGAACATCAGTAGGACCCCAACTGGTATCAGAATGACAGTAGAGAAATGAACATTATGGCTGGGGCTTCTCCTGGACTTGCCATTACTTTCAGTTAAAATAGAAATGGAATCAGAAAAGCAATCCATTTTGAGACACTTAACATAGCCTCTCTCCTAGAAAGCACCTTAAATATCACACTCAAAAGGTATGATTTTAAAGCCGGGCGCCGGTGGCTCACACCTGTAATCCTAACTACTCAGGATGCTGAGATCTGAGGATTGAGGTTCAAAGCCAGCCTGGGGAGGAAAGTCTGTGAGACTCTTATCTCCAATAAACCATTCAAAAACCGGAAGTGGCCCTGTGGCTCAAGCAGTAGAGCGCTTGCCTTGAGCTGAAGAGCGCAGGGACAGCACCCAAGCCCAGAGTTCAAGCCCCACGACCAACCAAAAAAAAAAAGGTATGACTTTAGCATGTTGCCAAAGCAAATTGCTGAGAAAGAAGTTACATTCTAAACAGTTCCTATTTTATTGCTTTGAAAAATAAAACGACGAATTAGAAAATGGCTAAGTTGTTTTACAATTGGAACAAAAAAAAGTTGACGTTTAGTTTTTAACAAACTATTAATTGTACATAATGACATATAGGGTGATATTTCAACATATTCAAGACACTTGACAAAGGAATGAAATCTTGTTTGACGGTTGGGGGTGGGGGCCTTGCATATAAGGGATCCCACCATACAAAGAAAGCCATACTGCTTATACATACAACTAAAAGTTGCATGAAAATCACAGAATGCCTCTCAGAAGGGATCATGTAATTTCCAATGCAGCTAAGTTAACTGGTGCTGCAACTGTTGAACTGAACACCTTTATGTAAGCTAATAAAGCTTGATCCTTGATCTAGGGCTCTAACGCCAACAAGAATGCAAGATATTATACAATGAGTCCCACGAACATGTATAGTAGATACAATGTGAAACTCGGTGGCCAAGAAGACAAAGCTATGGGCTTATGGGAGTCATGATGAGGACATACTGTTGATGCACTTAAAGACTGCAAATGCAACTGATCGCTAGGAAACAAAATAGGAATGGAGGAAAAAGGAAGAGGCCTGAAAAACTCCCATCCTTCACGTTGCAGTTTTGGAACAGAGCCACTTTCTCCACTGCACTGATTAGTCAAAACGATCTACTGTGGCCTGTAAAATCCTAGCTGCTGAGAAGGCCGAGATCTGATTCTAAGCCAGCCCAGGGAGAAAAGCAAAAACCCAGACGGGGATCCTTGGTTCAAGTGGTAGAGCACTGGCCTTGAGGGAAAAAGTCAAGGGAGCTAGAAGCCTGAGTTCAAGTTCCGGGGAACCAACCAGCACACACATACCCCAACAGGACCTACCTATTGTGCCTCGGTCCCACCCTGCTGCCTTAAATTGGGCTTCTAGAAGCTATCTTTCAGTTCATGAACAACGCCCATGGTGGCGATGGGAATGACAGACAACACAGGAGCAGGAAGACCATCTTTTATTTCTCCTCAGTGGCAAAGTGGGGAGGGGAGGGGAAAGGTACTGGGCGTGCTGTGGGGTGGTTGGGTCTCTGGCAAAAGGGCGTCTCGGTTGATGGGATTCATCAGACGCCCTGTCCCGAGGGGGAGATGGTTTCTTGCAAAACTAGGTGAAGGAGGTGGTTCTGCTCGGCACTCAGCAGTGGCCACATCTCCACCTGAAGCGACTTGACTGCTTCCGTGTCCTTCTCATGGGTGGCCATGACCAAGGACTGCAGCAGCAAGAACAGCTCCTCGGGAAGCTGGCCGCTGCTGCCGTCCTGACAGTGGCTGTCGAAGGCCTCCCAGGAGTACCTCTCCAGGGTCTGGGCGTGTTCGGGCAGCAGCTTGGCGGGTGGCGGCTGCAGGAGCAGCAGCAGCAGTACGCGGGACACCTCGCACCGGGCCAGCACGTCCGAGAAGGCGCCCAGCGTGGCGGGGGAGGGCGCGGCCGAGCCCGAGTTCGCGGGGAGCGGCGCAGGGGCCGCACCGGGTCCCGGCT